TTGTGTTGCCCATATATGCATGGCTGTGGGGCCATCCAATGGAGCATGGTCAGCCACCCAGGGATCATGTCCATAAAGAAAACTGACTGCTCCCCTGGCAGCCATCAGCTGTCACTAGCTCCTCAGCTAGGGATGGATACATCACAAATTCAAGTTGAAAAGATGTTATCTGTGGGTAGGCGAGAGGCTGTAGGGAATAACTTGATATTTCTAGTTTTGGATGAGGAGTCCAGAAAGGCCTCCAAGCACAGCCTGTGTGACCCTCCAGATTCAGGTTAAGCCTCTGGTCTCCGTGTGCATGAAGCTCACCCAGATGGAGTGAAGTGCCGTTTCCAACTGTGTGGCCAAGGGGAAAGCTTCCGGCTCCTTTCCCTGGTAAAACCAGCTAGTGATAGCATCTGCCCCCGAGGATTATACACAGAAGTATTACCTGTGGGTGACAATATTGTCACAGCCCCACTGTAATCGAATTAGCGTTGCTATCTAAAATGACCTTAGGTGCTACAGTCCGTCCATATTACTATTCTGTAGAAGCATTCTAAACTAAGTTAGGTAAAAAACTAGCATTTTGACAATCCTAAGCTAAGATTGATTTTTATTTTATTTTAAGTTTTTGGTTTTGGAGAGACAGACTCTCTCATTCAGGTTGAACACGGCACAGACAGCCTGGTCTGGAGAACTCTTCAGTAGAAAGGGCTACAACACATTCTACAAACCCAGTATGGCCTGTTTGACTTGCTTTCTGAAGGCAACACACAGGCTCAAATGAAGAGAGGGAAAAGCTGGTCTCTGTTTTAAAATTTTAATCATTTTAGAAAATACTGTGGTGTGGTTAGAGAGATGGCTCAGTGGCTAAGAACACTTTCTGTTCTTGCAGAGACCTGGGGTTTGGTTCCCAGCACCCACATGGTGGCTTATCTGTAAGTCTACATTTACCTACATCTCTCTGTAAGTTCCAGGGGCAATGATGCCCTCCTCTGGTCTCACTGAGGACTGCACACATCTCACACACAGGCAAGCAAAACAACTGCACATGTAAGATAAAAATATATAAATATTTTTTTAAACAAAATACTATGCTGATAGTTTTTTTTTTCTTTAACCATTCCTTTTACTGTGGACTTGTATTGGCTGTACATAAAAAGAGAAATGCCTTAAACAATGGTGGCCTGGAACTGAATAGAATGGACTCTCAGGTAAATGTCAATTGTTAGTGGTGTTTTTTGCATGGGTTTGCATATGGTATACATGCATGTGTGTATGCAGAGGCCAGAGGTTGACATTAGGTGTCTTCCTCTGGTCTGCCTTATTTACGGAGACAGGATCTCCCATTGAACCAGAGCTTGCTGATACTGCTAGTCCAACTGACCAGCTTGTCCTAAAAATTCCATCTCTGTCTCCCAAGGGCTGGGATTATAGCCAGGCCTCCATGCCCACCAGGTTTTATATGGGTTCTGGAGGTCTAAGGTTTTATATGCGTTTTGAAGGTCTAAGACTCCTGTCTGATACCCAGCACTTTATCTACTGAGTGTTTTTCTAGCTCCCTTTCCTAGAGTTTTAAAACTCCTACGTGTGACGTTGCATAGAAATTAACTAGTCTTTGATCAGCTTAGCTGGGATCAGCCCTCCACAGTGCGCAAAGTTCATCATGTGTGCCCCTCTTGTTTTTTGTTTGTTTTTCTTTTGACAGGGTCTCATATTACAGCTCTGACTGGCCTTGTCACAGAGATCCACTTGTTTCTGCTTTCCTAGTACTTAGATTAAAAGCATGTGTCATCACATCCAAGAATCCTTCTCCTGTGGTCCTTCTCTTCATCTTATTAGCTTCCAGTCTTTCATCTGCCCATCAGTCCTTCCTTCCTTCCTTTCATCCATCCTCCTATCCATCCTTCCTTTCACCTCTTTCCTTCTTTCTATCTATTCATTCATCCTTCCATCTATCCATCCATCTAAAGATGCAGTGTGGCTAGCCTCTAGAGAGACATTTTACCTCTCTCAATGCTCAGACTGTCCTCAGACTGCATCCTCAGACTACACTGAGCTCTTGTCTCCTCCTGCCTTATTCTTCTCTCTGCCCAACTATATCCTGGCACCTGTCTCCACCTCCCCAGCTCTGGGATTAAAGGTGTGGGATCCCAAGTAACTGGAATCACTTTTGTCGAACTCTTTCTCTTTTAGACAGATTCAATCTCGCGTAGGCCGGGGTGACCTTGAACTAACAGAGATCCCGTGGCCTCCTGGGATTAAAGGTGTGTGTCACCTCTCCCTGGCCACTAGTGGCTTAACTCTGTGCTCTGATCTTCAGGCAAGTTTTATTTGTTAAAACACAAAATATCACTACAAGATGTCAAGATGAGGTTGCTTCTAAGAGCATTTGAAGGAACGCAGATTTAGAGGCATTAAAAAATATCAGCATTGGGCTGGAGAGATGGCTCAGCGGTTAAGAGCATTGCCTGCTCTTCCAAAGGTCCTGAGTTCAATTCCCAGCAACCACATGGTGGCTCACAACCATCTGTAATGAGACCTGGTGCCCTCTTCTGGACTGCAGAAAGAATACTGTATGCATGATAAACAAATAAATAAATATTAAAAAAAACTCTTAAAAAATGTCAGCATTAAAACAGTGTCAGCTGGTTAGGCACAAAATTGGTTAATGTACTACAAGGCAACAAGTGCCTAGCTTCAGGATTATTTGTTCAGCTAGACAGGAATATATAAGTTAACATAAATTTACAGAGTATCTGTCACTTCTAAAATTACCATATATAGATGACTCTAGACATAGTTACTAATTAAACAGCCCCCCCCCTTTTTTTTCCTGAAAGGCATTTATTTCTATACTTGCAGAAGCCTTTGAGAAGTTTTTCTCTGGGACGCCAGGATGACAAGAAGCAGGCTTTTCCCTGCTTTGGGGTAGACCTGTCTGTGGGCCCTAAGCTGCCATTTCCCCGCCCTCTCTTCCAGCATCGTTTTTGCTTCTGTTCCTCCAGTTATCATGTTGAGCTCCCTGAGGACACAGTGATCTTCTGTCTGCTCCCATTGAATTCTCCTAGCAGTGCCATGGGTGGGCGGGGTTTGTTAAAGTTCCTTGTGCTTATGGGTCCAATTCAGTTAATATTTAACAAGCAATTATTAATGCAAAGTCCTTGAGTTAGACCATGAGGCATGGAGAAAAGAATAATGCCTCCTCCAGACCCCATAGTTCAGCGGGCAAAGACAGAAACATAGAAAGCCATCGAAAGTTGTGTTTCTTAATCATCACCTGGCTGTCTCTGGAACATCCTGATGCCTTTTATGTTCCCGACTCATTAAATTAAAATCCCAGGGCTGGGGGGTGGGACCAGAAACCAGTATATTTTAGAGGTTTCTGGGAGATTATAGTGAATTGCTAAGCTAGAGAAAACTTAGTGAAGGATTAAGTGCAGAATCAACCGGGCACCACAGCCTTTCTGGACAGGTTAACCTACTATCTAACCACATTTTAGCCCATGAGTGCAGAAAATACAGCCTTTCATTGTAAGTGTGGGGAAGTCTTAGGTCAGTTCGGTTGCAAAACACCTACCAAATATACACTTCTGGGGGTTGGGGAGATGGCTCAGTCAGTGTCGGACAGCAAGTGCAAGGGCCTGACTTGGTCTCCTACTGCCCGTTTGAAGGGCTGGGCACTGTCGAATGGTCCTGTTAGCTCTGGTACAGAGCAGAGGCAGGAGGACCTCAGGAGGTGCTAGCTAGCCAGTCGGAGGCCTATGTCAAAAACTGCAGGGGAAGGCCTGAAAACGTGGCTCAGTAGTAAGAGCATTTGTTGCTCATGCAGATACCCCAGCTTTGGTTCCCAGCTTACATATTGTGGTTTATAACTGCCTGTAAGTTCAGTTCCAGGGGACCCAACGCCCTCTTCTGACTGCTGAAGGCACCAGGCATGTACACAGTGCACATACATGCAAGTAGGAAAAACGCTCATACACATAAATCTAAAAAAAAATTAAAATAATACGTGGATGTTACAGCTTGCTCATACCCACATTTATTTTAAAACATAATACAGAGGACAGTGAGTGAGGAAGACACACTGATATTCACACACAGATGTGTACACACACAAAGGATAAAAATACCCTAGGAGGTATGGCTTGAAGGAGACTGTGTGTCTAAGGATAATGGAACCTCAAAGGTCAGCCCAGAAGGCTCCCCTCTGAATTTATCTCTGTGCTGTTTTACTGGGATTTTTTTCTCCCCTGTCTTTTTGAGGATCCTTCCTTCTTTCCTCCTTCCCACTCTTCCCCCCCCTTTTCTTTTTCTTCTCCCTTTGCCCTTTTTTGAGACAGGATCGTTATGTCACCCTGGCTGTCCTGGAACCCAGAGTTCTCCACACCCAGCCTAGTAGTTGTGTTTTCTAATCATTGGCAATCGACCACCAAGCGCAGTGTCTATACAATGGAGTCTTTTTGCCACTCCTGGGTAATACACACAAAGGTCACCACAGAGGTACCTGCACGTCTGTGTTCACTGCAACCCAGCTCACCACAGCCAAGATACAGAATCAGCCAGCAGATAAATAAAGAAAATGTGATACCTACAGAGCATAGTAGAGTCCATCTGGCCATCCAGAATAAAGGGAAGTGGATGGGAGGTGGAGATCCTAGCAACAAAACAGCTCAGACACAGACAAGTATCACGTTTTTCTGTCATCTCAGGATCTTAGATTTTGAATAGATACATGAAATCATTGATGTGTGTGTGTGTGTGAGAGAGGGGGGGGGGAGGGAGACAGACAGACAGACAGACATGACAGAAGAAAGATTGTCTGGGAGAAGAAAGCCTAGCAAGAGGAAAGAAAAAGATGTTTTGGAGGGCGAATGTGGTCACGCACGTGACTGGCTTGAATGAAATGTCTATGAAACCCAGTACTGTACAGTGTAGAGTCTAAAAAGACCAGGCTTGTTAGCAGCCAGCTTACGTGACAGCATCTTAACAGGAGGCTTCATTCTTGTCTCATCTAGAACTAAGAGGAAAAGAATGACTATGGTTTTTGCTCACAGAATGGAGAATGACCAGCCGCCTGTGCTTACTGCTACCCCGCTGGTGCCCCTTCAGAACCACAGCTGCGTGGAAGCAGCTGAGGCCCTGCTGCCCGGTGGCCTGGTGGAATTCCATGAGGAACACAGCTGGATGAGCAACAGGACAGACCTTCGGTATAGACTGAACCCTGGAGAGGTGGCTACAGCCAGCATTTTCTTTGGCGCTCTGTGGTTGTTCTCTATCTTTGGCAATTCCCTGGTGTGTCTGGTCATCCACAGGAGCCGGAGGACTCAGTCCACCACCAACTACTTTGTGGTGTCCATGGCGTGTGCTGACCTTCTCATCAGTGTGGCCAGCACGCCTTTCGTTGTGCTGCAGTTCACCACGGGACAGTGGACCCTCGGCAGTGCCATGTGCAAGGTCGTGCGCTACTGCCAGTATCTTACTCCGGGCGTCCAGATCTACGTGCTCCTCTCCATCTGCATAGACCGCTTCTACACCATCGTCTACCCACTGAGCTTCAAGGTGTCCAGGGAAAAGGCCAAGAAGATGATCGCAGCCTCCTGGATCTTAGATGCAGCCTTTGTGACCCCCGTCTTCTTTTTCTACGGCTCCAGCTGGGACAGCCATTGTAACTACTTCCTCCCTTCCTCCTGGGAAGGAACCGCCTATACTGTCATCCACTTCTTGGTGGGCTTTGTGATTCCCTCTGTCCTCATCATCTTATTCTACCAGAAGGTCATAAAATACATCTGGAGAATAGGCACTGATGGGCGGACCCTGAGGAGGACGATGAATATCGTCCCCAGGACAAAGGTGAGAACTGTTAAGATGTTTCTCCTCTTGAACGTAGTGTTTCTGTCCTCCTGGCTGCCTTTCCATGTGGCTCAGCTCTGGCACCCCCACGAGCAAGACTACAAGAAGAGCTCCCTTGTCTTCACAGCGGTCACGTGGGTGTCCTTTAGCTCTTCCGCCTCGAAGCCCACTCTCTACTCGATTTATAATGCCAATTTTCGGAGAGGGTTGAAAGAGACTTTCTGCATGTCCTCGATGAGATGCTACCGCAGCAACGCCTACACCATCACAGCCAGCTCGAGGATGGCCAAAAGAAACTATGTCGGCATTTCAGAAATCCCCCCCGTGAGCAGGACGGTAACCAAAGACTCCGTCTACGACTCATTTGACCGAGAGGCCAGGGAAAAGAAGCTTGCCTGGCCCATCAATTCAAACCCACCAAACACTTTTGTCTAATTTCTAAGAATTCTTTCACTGTTATGTGCCAGAAATTAAGAAGCTTTAAATACATAAAGAGGGAAGTGATTAACGCTGTTTTCACTCAGCTGTCTGTTCTGTAAAGTGCATCCACTGTTGATTACGGTTCCTGTGGATCTTGTTGGTCAGTAGTGTGCCCACTGTTAGTTGCCCATGAAAAGTTCTTTTGTGGGCTGGAGAGATGGCTCAGTGGTTAAGAGCAGTGGTTGGTCTTCCAAGGACCCAAGTCCAAACCCCAGCACCCACGTGACAGCTCACAGCCACCTGTAGTTCCAGTTTCAGGGGAGTCAGTGACCTCTTTTGGCCTCTCGGAACACTACACGCTTGTGCACAGACACTTACGTTGGCAAAGCACCTTTACACATAAAATTTTTAAAAAGCAAAAACCTCTTTGTTCGTTTGTTTGGAAGTTCTTTCCTGAGTGGGAGCGATGGCTCAGAGGGTGGGGGCGCTCACTACCAAGCCTGACAACTTGAGTTAGATCCCAGTAGCCCCATGATGAAAGGAGAGAACCAACTCCCGCAAGTTGCCTTCTGGTCTCCACACACGTTTTGTGGCACGCCTGCACTTGTGTGTACACACTCACACTAAATAAATGTGAACAAAAAATTAAAAACATTTGGCTATTTTTGCCCTATCCCCAGGTCAGTATACACACTCTTCTACTGTCGGTTCTGTTTGATTTGTTTTGTTTTACTGAATTTTGGTAACTGTGGCCTTCTGTTCCACTGAAATCTCTTAAACAGCACATTTCATTGTGTTTCTCAGCCGAGCAACCCTGTATGCATTTGCATGTTACCTCCTGAAAGGGGGCGGGGCCCATCCACCAAGCCATGTGGAACTGGGGAAGCCTCCTGGGATGGGTTAAACCATTCTTTGGGGGACAGATGCTTGCAGTCATCTACATTCCTTGCCTTCTCTTGTTATCCTTCCTTAATCCAAGCATCTGGTGAAGTCTTGAAAATCCACTATTTATTTATTGGTGGTGGGGTGCACTTGGAGAGACAGAGGACAGCTCGGGTAGGTTCTGGAGCCTGAACTTAGGTCATTGGGCTTAACAACGGGCACCTTTCCCCCTGAGCCTTCTTACTGGTGTAAGCTTGAAACCAATGTACTAACATACTGTGATCCATGCACAGAGCTCCCAGGACCCGTATCTTCCTTCTCTAAGTCATACACAGGCAAAGGAGCAAGCCTCCTTGCTAGGCTTGCCAAAAACAGGAATGACATTTCTCTGTGCTCTGCAATTCACAGAGACCTTCAAATGCCTGGACCTCCTGTGACCACCAGGACCCAAGGACAAGATGTGACTACTTTTTCTCCTATAAATTCAGACATGAGGCCTTTTATTGTAATTACAATTAAAAAAAGTTCACTTACATGTTCGGGGGTGGTGCCCACAGAGACCAGATGGCATTTGATCCCCTGGGACTAGAATTAGACTGTTGTCAGCCACCCAACACAGGTGCTGGGATCAAATTTGGGTCCACTGCTAGAGTAACATGTGCTCCTGAGGAGCCATCCTCCAGCCCCATAAGGTCATCTCGTCAGACATCCTTCTCTTCTGTCTCCCTAGCTTGAACCAAGATTTGCTTCCAAACTCAGACTCCTGTGTGACTTATGAGTTGGCTCCTTTATTCCCAGGTGCACATTATTTGAAATCTAGCACTAGTACCTTTAGAACATACATATATTCTATTCTAGATATATGTTTATCTGGATATAGCACACACTTATAATTCTAGTCCTCTGGAGAGGAAGGCAGGAGAATCCGAAGTTCAAGGTCATCCTTGGCTACACACGTAAGACTATGTCTCAAAGACAATACAACACAAAGAATTTATTTTAATGAAATAAGGGCTCTACAGACAAGCCTGGTTTGCATTTTCATGGACTAACTAACAAGCCATGTGTAATAACTCATTGTTCATCCTCTCAGCAATTCCATGATGTATTTATGGGTTTTATTTGTGTTTCCTTAGTTTGGGTCTCATTTTATAGCCCAGACTGACTACATATTCAAGGCACTCTTGCCTCAGCCTCACCTGTGATGAGTTCATAATTGTCTCTATTTACCAGATGAGGAGACTGGAACTTCTCATGTGAGGCAGCTTGTTAGGTTGGAATGTGACAGCTGGTATTCTGACTCGGGCCCTCCTCCTGTGGCTCATTCCTTACCATTTCAGAAGTCTCAGAGAACGTGAGCAGCCCCACCAAGACGTGCCCTGTGGGCCTGATCATGACCTCATAAAGATGACCTCAAGATGGAGTTTAATGCTGGCTCACACCTTTCTCTTGGCCATAGATTGGCTCTTCAACCTCTGATATGAATGTTTTGAGATCCAGAAGTTACAAACACCAGTAAATAAGACAAGACTATGTGTAGTATTTGTGACAACAGACAGCAATGCAGGCACTCACTTTAAATCACAACACTCAGGAGGCAGAGACAGGCAGAACCCCAAGTTTAAGTCATTCTGGTCTACATAGCAAGATCCGGGCCAGCCAAGGCTACATAGTGAGAGCCTGTCTCAAAAGCCAAGACAAACCCAAACAGAACAATAAGATACTTGCTTTAAGATCGTCTACAGAGGTTGCACGCTCTCGCACTCCGGAGGCAGGAGGACCTGGAATTTCAAGGTCAGCCTGGTCTACACAGTAGGCTCCAGGCCAGCAGGATCACGTCGTGAGACTGTCCTCAGCAGCGGACGACAACAAAATACCTTCAGAAATGCTTTGAGGTCAAGATGCTCCCGTCAAAGGACCAATTCAAAAGGCTAAAAATGTAAAAGAAAACAAGACCTTGTGTTTCCCTCTGTCCCCCTCTTCACACGCTTGGCAGATGTCTCTGAAATGAGTCAGAGGCTTGCCTCACTTGGCCCTTGCATTTCATGGTTCAGACTTTAAAGTAGAAAGCTCCCTTCTACTTGTTCTACTTACTTATTTTTGTTTGTTTTCGTTTTTGAGACAGGATTTCTCTGTGTAGCCTTGGTTATCCTGGAACTCACTGTAGACCAGGCTACCTTCAAATTCGCAGAGATCCACCTGCCTCTGCCTTCTGAGTGCTGGGATTATAGGCATGTGTGCCACTACCTGGCACTTATTTTAAAGACTGTAGTGTGTGTGTGTGTGTGTGTGTGTGTGTGTGTGTGTGTGTGTGTGTTGTAGAAGTGTACAAGTGCCTGTGGAGAAGAGAGGGCATTAGAACCTCCTGGGAACTCGATGCCAGTCCTCTGCAAGATCAGCAAGTGCTCTTAATTGCTAAGCCACCTCTCCAGACCCTACTTATTTAAACTTTATTATTGTCATTGTGTGTACGTATGATGTGTGTGTGCACACTCAGGCCAGGCTCACTCAGCGAGCCCAGCAGCTTTCCTACTTTGCTTCTGTGCCTGGGATAAACACCATGACTAGAAGCAACCTGGGGAGGAAAGGGTTTGTTTCATTTTACATACCTCATAGTCCCTCATGCAGGGAAGTCAGGGCTGGGGCCTGGAGTCAGAAACTGAAGCACAGCCCAGGGAAGAATCTGCTTACTGGCTTGCTTCCATGGCTTACTCAGCCCAGGACGACCAGCCCAGGGTGGCACTGCCCACAGTGGTCTAGGCTTTCCCATGTCAATCATCAATAAAGAAAATAGCCCAGCAGATTTGCTTCCAGGCCTGTCTGATGGAGGCATTTTCTCAATTCAGGGTCTTCTTCCCAGAGGACTCTAGCTTGTGTCAAGTTGACAAAAAACTAACACCTGCCCCCATTTTATTGATTTATGGGTTTGGGGTTATTTATTTATTTTCATTGTTGTTATTTTGGGTTTTTTTTTGAGACAGGGTTTATTTGTATATCCTTGGCTGTCTTGGAACTCGGACTGTAGGTCAAGCTGGCCTCAAACTCACAGAGATCCACCTGCCTCTGCCTCCTGAGTGCTGGGATTAAGGACATGTGTGGCACCACCAGCTGGCCTTGATTTTGTCTCATGTAGCCCAAGCTGGTCTAGAACTTTCTGTAAAGACAAGGCTGTCCTTGAACCCCTGTCCCTGCTGTCTCTGCCTCCCAAATGCTGGGGTCACACCAGATTACAGCATCATCCCAGCTTTATTCTATTTTACTGTCTTATTTTTTAAATCTAATTTTTCGGGGGTAGTGGAATGGAGGTATATCTCACTGTGTAGCACTGGCTGTCCTGGAACTCACTATATAGACCAGGCTAGACTCAGAGTCATACAGATCTGCTTGCCTCTGCCTCCAGAGTGCTGGTATTAAAATCATGTGCCATTATGCCCAGCCACAGCAGGACTCTCTTAAAATTAAAAAAAGAGAGAGCTGAGGATACTGCTCAATAGAAAGTGATAGTCTGGAACATGTAAGGCATTCGGATTAGTCCCATCCCATCCCCCCACCCCCACCACACCCCGTGCGCGCTTTTCCCCCACATACACATCTGAAAAATAAAAAAGATTTAGGCTCGTGCTTTGGATCCTAGGAGGCTGAAGACCTGGAATACATAGCTGAGAGTTCCAGGCCAGCCTAGGCTACAAAGTGAGACTATGTCTCCTAAAAAGTAAATACATAAAATAACAATTTAAATTAAATACATATTTTCCAGAGCAGAAGGGACACTAAAAGTCTCTCTCCCTTTAGAAGATTGAAATCAGGCCAATAAGTAAAGTTGGGGGTAATCTACCGCTCTGGACCAACTGGGTTGGTGAGACGGATCCGTGTGTGCTTGCCACCAAACCCAAGATTTGGGTTCTGTCCCTGGATGGAAGTAGCCAGTTCCTGAAAGTTGACCTCCACACACCTTCTATGGTTCAACACCCCCCCCCCCCCCAGGAACTTTATTTATTTTCAAATAAATATGACAATTAGTTCTGTGTCTCTCACCATTCATTTGTTGGAGAATAACGTCATCGCGGAGGGCCGACCTTGAAGGATACTCAGTGAGCCTTTGTTCTCTTAATTGGAACTTTGGAGAGGGAAGGCCGGAGAGCCCGGGCGCAGTTCTGAGAGACGCCGCTTGGTGGCGCTGTGTCTAGCGGGCAGAGCGGGCCTCTCCGCCCTTCGCTGAGCTGGTCACAGGAATTCAGAGACATCTTCGTCTCTTAGCAACCACACAGCGGAGCTTGCAGAGCACCCAGACTCAGCTGTGGGTTAATCAATTAGTGTGCTCTAAACATCGGAGGAAATTCCCTAGCAAATAATACCCGTTACAGGCGCGAAATCGCTACTCAAAATATTGTTTCAAACCCATTTTACAAATGTGACTATGCTGAAAAAGCCCCATAGATCACTAAACCGGCAGTGGTACCATCAGCACTTCCCGCAGCCTCTCTGTTTTCTGTTCCCTTTTTTTTTAAGTCAGAGTCTCATACATCCCGGGTTGACTCCG